TCTTCACGGATTCTGTCAGCAGTCTTTCTTGGAATCCGTTTCCAAGAGGACAACAGTTTGCGAGCACGCACCGACGGTGCAGAAGCTGAACGTCCTCCTGTCCAAGTTGCTGCTGCCAGGCTCGTAATCTGTCATGCGCCCCTGTACCGCCTCCTCATGCTGCTGCCAGGTCCAGAATGTGTCATGGGCCCCCGTACCGACTCCTCATGCTGCTGCCAGGCCCGTAATCTGTCATGGGCCCCTGTACCGCCTCCTCATGCTGCTGCCTGGTCCAGAGTGTGTCATGGGTCCCTGTACGGCCTCCCACTGCTGCTGCCAGCCCGTAATCTGCCATGGGCCCCCGTACCAACTCCTCATGCTGCTGCCAGGCCCGTAATCTGTCATGGGCCCCTGTACCGCCTCCTCATGCTGCTGCCAGGTCCAGAGTGTGTCATGGGTCCCTGTACGGCCTCCCATTGCTGCTGTCTCCATCGCCACACTCTGCCATGTGCCACTTTCAGGTCTTTTCACACTGCTGGTGGTTTCCATTTTGTCATAGGGTGCTGTATGGCCTCCCATTTCTGCTGCCTCCACCGCCACACTGTGGCTCCACACTCTGGTTTTGGCCCCGTGACTGCCCAAATGAGTGAAGTGTGCGGTGATTCTAAGATCGACGGCACTCATCTGCATGTCATACTGACTGACAGTATTATTTCTCTTCCCCAGCAGACTCCAAGGGCATTTAAATTAAGGTACAGTGTTCTGCACTAATATAAAGGCTCTCTGAAGCCTAGAAACACCCTTTTATAAGTTAAATTCGCAGCGAATATATTCGACTCGAATCAAAATTTTTTCACGAATTCGCAATCAGTCGAATCGAATTTTTGAATAATTCGCTCATCTCTAATTATCATCAAATGTCTTTTGTCACTAGCAAACTTAAATTACTAACGGAAACCTGTACGCTCACCCCTCTCGAGGTCTCCTGTGGGGCTACAGGGACGGTGAAAGGTCTGTCTAATATATATGCTTCCCTTGTTGATCCAAATATTAAGCTCTCTTATATGGTACATTGGTAAAGGGATTTAAATATTTCTCTGGAGCTGGACACTTGGCGGAATACGGCTAATGCTAAAATCTCGATTAACACTACACTCATTGAATCTAATTAAAAAACGCTTCTTCGGTGGTATTTGGTCCCTACACGTCTTGCTAAAATGTACCCTTCTGTGTCACCCAGCTGTTTTTAACATTGTGGACAGGAGGGTACTATGCTCCACATATGGTGGAAATGCCCTGTGGTGACTAGGTTTTGGATCTGTTTAACTTCCTTTATTCAGTAACGGGGGGTTAATATTTGTCGATCCCCTGAACTAGCTCTATTTCATTTATTGCCCACTGATATGCCTAAGAAACCGGTTAAATTGATTCTTTATATCCTGTTGCCAGCGAGAATTACGATAGCCAAATGTTGGAAACAATCAACAATTTCGCTGGAATTAGTTAAGCAGAAAATTTAATTGGATTATAATTAATGATAAACTTACTAGTATACTTAACAACAATACTTCTAAATTTGGGAGCACTTGGGATCCATGGATTCGATATATTTCTGCTATTTAATGGACTCTTGGCTGGCTCTCTCCTATTTTTTTTTTCCTGGGTTTTACTCTTTACTTTCTTCTTCAGTCCTTTCCTCATTTTTTTGTTCTCTATATTTTTGTCTATTATTTTATTGATATTATTCATACCACCTTATTTATGGAGCAATTTGCTCATAATCGACCAAACTTTGTTTGTGCTACTAGTGTATTCCTCATTATGCTTTATTGGTCGATTTTGTTATGTTGCTACACATTGTACTTGAATTTATTTATAGTGTTTATGTTTTGCAACTCGTCATGTTGGTGGGTTGCATCCTGTCTTTATGGATAATGTTTCTAAAAATTCTTAATATATTGAAATATAAAAATATTCTTCTTCCCAAATAAATTGACATATATTTGAAATTCTACAATTTTGGTCGTATTCAATATATATATATATATATATATATCTATCATGTTGACATGCATTTTTTATATAATACAAAATATATGAAAAATATTTTTACAAATATATTTTTTAAAATATATTCTTCAGATTTTTTTTTTTAACATGTAAAAAAGTAATTTTAACATATATTTTTACATATATTTGTAAATGCCTTCCAAAAATGTAGATTACATGTATTTTTAAAGACATGTATATTTGAAAATTTTAAAGAATATTTTTGATATATTTTGTAATAAAAATGTATATATGTAAAATACATATATATATATATATATAATATATGTGTGTATATATATATATATATTATATATATATAGGTGTGTGAGTGATGTGGAGTGGTATATATATATATATATATATACACACATACACATACACACACACACACACACACACACACATATATATAGATATATATATATAGATATATATATATATATATATATATATATATATATACACACATACATACATACACACACACACAAACATATACATATACACATATATACACACACATACATATACACACACACAGTATATATATTATTTTATATATATAAAAAAAATCTGAAGAATATATTTTAAAAAATATATTTGTAAAAATATTTTTTCATACATTTTGTATTATATAAAAAATGCATTTCAACATGCAATATATATATATATATTATATATAATATATATATATATATATATTGAATATGGCCAAAATTGTAGTATTTCAAATATATGTCAATATATTTGAGAAGAATATTTTTAAAATATATTTCAAATATATTTTTCTTCCATGTGGGAGGGATGGATAGAGATGCACTAATGGTGGCCATTTGCAAGGATAATAGGCAAAGGATTGTCATTAATGGGCATGGAGAGTGGGGCAATGCCTGGGGAACATATAGCAATGTAAAATACAAAAATCAACTCAGCAAGTAGCGGCTCCTTTAATTAAACTTAAAGTGAAACATTAAATGTACTGTACAATTACTTTACAAAAATATGTTTGATGCCCAAAATCTGTGTGTAACGTGGCACACCCGTAGGATGTTCTAAAGCAAGAGTGACATTTCAGGAAAAAAAAAAAACATTTGCAAGTAATGACAATTCTGATCCAATGTAAAAAAAAAATGTCATTCAGCATGCCATTGTTGTAAAATATGAAAGAGGATGTAACAGCGAGTAAATATATACTTACATTTTGTGCTTTAAAATTGTGCGCGCTTGTGGAGCGGCGACAATGTACGGTACTTAATCTACATAGTACTTAAAAATCTCCATAGGTGATGCTGTAAAAATGTTTCCAGGTTACCTGTTTAGAGTTACAGAGGAGGTGTAGTGCTAGAATTATTGCTCTCACTCTAAAATTTGCAGCGATACCTCGTGTGCTGTGAGCACTGTTTACACATACGTGTGCAATTTACATATGCGTTCACTTCGGCGCACAAGCATAGAGGGATGGGGGCATTTAAAAACATTTTTTTACGTATTTATTTTATTTTTTACACTGTCCCTTTATTGTTTTTTTATCACTTTTATTCCTATTACAAGGAACATAAACATTCCTTGTAATAGAAATAAGCATGACAGGTCCTCTTTAAGGAGAGAGGGGGGGGATGTCCCCTTCCGTCATATGAAAGCGAGATAGGACCGTTTTAATTAGAAAGTCAGGCCGCTGGCTTAAAAAAAAAATACCAGGGTTATGGCTAATATCTTCAGCCATATCCCCGGTAAACAATTTGGGCAACGCACCATACAGAGTGTAAAATAAGTATTTGAACACGTCATACCATTTTTCTCAGTAAATATATTTTCTAAAGGTGCTATTTTCACCACATCGGTAACAACTCATGCAAATCCATAGTACAAAGACAAAACAAAACATAATATATTCAGAAATTATAAGGTTATGTGTAATAAAATGGAAATGACAGGGGGAAAAAGTAATTGAACACATGAAGAAAGGGAGGTCTCCATCTAAAAAGTAATGGTAACCCAAAAGATAAAATCTGAAACCTCTGATAGCTCTGAGGAAACGGGGAACAACGTCCCTATAAACGCTCCATCAGGAGGCCAACCATACCAGCAGTCCGGACACTTTTGATATATCATTTCGGCCATAACCTCTGTCCCATACCTTACAGGTTTTATATATGCACTCAGTTTGTGTGAGTATGTTTTTTGTCCTGCCTATACTTTTTTAATACATCCGTTGGATAATGCGCTGTTTGGTGTGTGTGCGCCACCTGTGGTGCTTTCTTCCAGTTCCATGTTGATATCTCCCCATCTGAGGAGGGCAGATCTGATGGGACTTTAGCAATATTAGGTCATTCACACACGTATACTGATCTCCTGGCCTCTCCCTGGTATGTTTGATACCCTTCGAGGCGCTGCAGAGATAGTTCATTTTGAAACAATCAGTAATTAGATAAGAAATCATGTATAACCCTTATCGGTGGCATCAATTAATATCAGCTGTTTCAGTACTCAGCTGATGGTCTATAAAAAGGCTCTGAATTTACCAAGGTGTCACATCTCATGATGGATCCAAAAGCAAAGAGCTCTAAAACTATTGCAACCTTATTGATGCAAAACATACTGGGTGGCATTGGTTACTGAAGGATTTCTAAACTGTGAATGTTCCAGTGATCCACTGTATGGAAGTACAGAAGGGGGCATAATAATCCAGTAGTGGAAAGAACATAAATGGGGATTATTCACCATGTGGTGAAAATTTAATCGTCAATGTATCAAGGACTTTAGAAATATATTTACTGAGAAAAATGGTGACGTGTTTCAATACTTATTTTACCTGTCTGTATATACACATATTGTGGTTGTCATTGTGGTTATTGATAAATATAAAGTTATCTGCACTTGGGGGGTAAGAATATGCATGCATCATACATACTAGGGGGGGGGTTTAAAACTGGGGGAATCAATGGTGGAGAAGGATTGGGAGTTCTGGGTAGATCACCATTTATACTAAATGGCAGTGGCAATGCAAAGCTGCAGAGTTTCCAAAGCTGAGAAAAATCCGAGTCTTTTTTGTAATTAAGAGAGGTATAGATCCAGAAGAGAGAGATATAATTTCCCCCGGTACAAGCTCAAATCGTAACCTCCCTCAGGAATAATCAGTTCCAGCACCAAATTCATGGTTTAAAAAGTACAAACCATGCGGGGATTACTATGTCCTGGAGAAAGTACAGAGAATAATAACCATAAATGATAAGCGGAAGCAGTTGATCCAGGGAGCAGATCAGCTTGTTGAGGAAAGATTAGAGGAACTGAATTTTATTCCCTCACTGAGAGGAGATTAAGGGGGGATTGATCTCCATGTAATAGTTTACATTATTGGGGGGGATTTGGATCTCCATGTATAATACATAAGGGGGGTATATCAATGATCTCCAGTATAATACAGTAAGGGGGGATATGATCACACCATGTGTTAATACATAAGGGGGATATGAAATCACCATGTATAAGACATAAGGAGGAAAA